CAAAACTGTGTGTAAGTGGAGTTATGCCAGTTGTAAGTATTAATAAGTCATAGAAATGAATAAAAACCCTATAACCCAAATGGTTTCAAAAGGTGGACCTTTCTTCTATGAGGCACAAGTTTGCCCCTGAAGAAAAAAGGTCCACCTTTCAAAAGCACTTGGGTTATAGGGTTTTTATTCATTTCTATGACTTATTAATACTTACAACTGGCATAACTCCACTTACACACAGTTTTGATGTGACTAGACACAGAAAAAGGACTGTAATAGCCTTTATGGCCATTAGAAGCATGGGTGAAACAAGTAAAATTTAATGGATGATTTAAAAGATCCAATAATATATACATATTATCACTTTATTCTTTCTTTTTTCACTACTGTCTTTAATTCATTATGAAGAAGATATTTTTTGCTATCTGCTTTACACAACTAAACACATTAACATTTGCATGCTTATTTATTTCCATGAGAGGTTAATAAATGTTTTATGAAGAACCGTGATTTTTTTAATTTTAAAAGTAACATCAAATTAAAATCCTTTAGTATAAAAAAGGGCAGTTATAACAGACCAATAAAAAATGTAAGTTTTAATATACCCTTGAGTTAATTGGTCAATTAATTGATTCCAGACCATTGAGCACCTTTCAGGTGTCCTATGTGCATCTACATACCTAATTTCAAAACTAAAGTAAACATAATAATTACAAATCTATATTAATTAATGTTTACTCAAATATATTTTACAATTTATATTTTGCTATTTATTTAGTGTAACTCACAAACAAAATTCAAACTTACATTTCTGCACAGCCTCAACTGTAAACAACACACTTTTTTTTTTATAGAATATTTCTGCCCATCCAGAAACATAGGTTTATAACGTCTAAGAAACTATTGCCCCTTGAGAATTTATTAAAACTTTTGTTTCTTTTCTGAGTTTCTTTCTTTGTCTCTGATTCTATTAGTATAGCCTCTTGTTTCCACCTTTATTAAGAAAAAACTACTTATATTAATAAAGAATGAATGATGTGGTGTGATAAGTGCTAGCTCCTACAGAGATAAACAATGGAATGTAGTGGGAAGTTTAGAAGATCACAGATTTGGAAATATTTTTGTAGTTTTTGCTAGACATCCTTTTCATTCCTGAAAATTTATTCAGTTATATTTGTTTAAAAGCTATGAGGATTTTCTTCTCTGACAAGAACTCATATAAGCTATATTAGGTTTAAAAAGTATGATGGCAACAGGAAAATAATCTGGTGACTCAAGTCCTTATTTATCGAATATTATTGTTGAGTTTAATCATATTCAAACAGCACATATAAATCACAGAACATATAATTTATTGAAAAGAAAGTATATCTATTAGACATAAATTAAGTTTGATCAAAGATATTGTTCACAAAAATACTGATACCAAGTCTGACCTGACAACATTTTGAAAGGTCAAGTCATGGGTCACTGATACATCTTTATTAGTTTCTGCAGTGTTTTTATAATTTATAGCTGGAAATGGTGACTAATGCAGTTGGCAAAATAAAGTTTCAAAATATGTCAACTAGGTTGCTTTTTTAGGAAAGACTCTTGGAAGCTATGCAGAAATGAAACTTAGAATATTTGATTTTCTTTTTTGTGAATTGCACTATATAAATGTTACCAAATGATAAATATTAATTCTAAAGTATTTTTATAATAAAAAGTGTTTATATAGAGTTAGAATTATAATTTCTAGTTAAATTTTGAAATGTGATATACAACTGTGCACACAACACCTGAGAGGTGCTTACTGGCCATGATAAGGTTAAAGAAGTTATTAAGAAGAATAAATATTTATTTGTAGCTTAAACATCTACAGGTAAATGTTTATCTTAATAAAGGAGCAATCCAATAAATTTTGGGAATGATATATTACAGCACTTTCTGATACACTGTTATTACAGCTGATAATAATTATTATTATTGTGGTTAATAGTAAATGATCATGTGAGTTTAATTATCAATAAATCATAAATTATTTTTTTAATTACTATAAACTAATTTCTAATCCTATGTTTCAGCTTTAAATCTATTCTTGCCTTCAGGGAAGTTCTGAGAAGGACTATATCTGTGGTGGTAGAGGAAAGAACTTCTTGACAGAGGTTGGAGTGCTATACACTCATATGGGGTCTCTCCCCATTAACACTTTAATCAACTAATTTACCATAAATTGTTATTTTCTTTTTTCCAGAAGCATATTCAGATTTTGATGACTTCAATTTTAGGTGGGCTGAGCATATTATCAGTTAGGTGGATGTAGAAATCTTCTTCTTTTTTCTCATTACTGGATCATATTCTATTATTTTAGTATTATTACAAATTACTGTACAATCTTCTAAGACAGGATAGGCTACTGCAGATAGATCAGTATTACATCTTGTGTTTATTATGCTCCTGAATTCTTTTCTTAGTCTTTTTTTGTCTCCCCTGTATATTGGAGTACACATTCACAAGGAATGAGGTAAATCGAATTTTCATCTTCCACTGGGTCTTTAGGTGGTTTGGTGCGTACTGATTGCAATCATATTATGTTGTGATTTCTTAAAATTACTTATTTTTTTACTTCATGCTGTTTTATAAACCATTGAAATAGGAGAATATAGCTGTGTTTGTAATTTTCTTCCAGCTTATTCCTGGTGTTTGTGTTATTTATTAAGTGTTTGGGGTATCTATTGTCAAGGAGGGTTGTAATGATGTGTTTTATTTACTTCTTCTCAGCATCATCAGAATTACAAATATTGCTCATCCTTATAACTTGGCATTCCAGGACACCCACCTTAACACTTGAGGTGGTTTGATTTACAGCCACAACATTTAATTGTATCTGTAGGTTTTCTGTAAATGTCTGTGATATATATATATATGTATTTTTTAATACTGTCTTTAGTATGTGGTCATATTACAAATGTATTACCAACATATCTGAGCCAAATTCTCAAAATAAAAGCAGCTGTTTTGAGGGCATTATCTTTGAAATGTTCTGTGTAGAAGTGACCGAGTACTGGTGATAGGGTGAGCTTGCAGCTAAACCTTCTTGTTTTATGGTAGATGTATGTTGGGTTGATAAAGAAGGTTGTGAACTCTATTATTATGGATATTGTTAGTTGAAGGAAAATTTGTGGTGTTTGAGGGATCAGTAAGTTGGTGAATAGGTTGGATACATCAGAGATAGTCATCATTTCTTTTAAGGTTATTTGATTATATTTAATGGAACTGAGGATGAAAGCTACTAAGGATATGTGACATTTCAGTAACTACTAATATTAAGGTGGTTTTAAACTACGAGGTTTCAGTTTTTTTCTTCTCCTTAAACTGTTACCTCACTTCTTATTTTCTTTGAACTTGATAAATCCTAGCCAGCTAAGTCATATTTTATATTATTAAGTTAAATCGCAAAGTACATTTTAAATACTTTGTGGCTAATAGAAAATAACTGTATGGTAAAAGAAGAACATTTATTTTGTTCAGTTGTTTTAAACTATCGCTAAAGATTTTGAAGAAGTGAATCAGGCCTAATATATATGAAATTAGAATCAAACCTCAGGAAGGTCATCCAAATAAAGTAACTCTCCCCGTTGAAATCCATTGTTTTCTCCCTCTCTTTGCTGAGCAAGTCTTCTTTGTCTCCGTCGTCGCTGCATACGAGGTGAAGCACAACCCTCATCAACCTCACTATCTGATGATGTGGGTAGTGATGCAGTACGTGGAGATGAAGGACTAAATGGGTAGGTGAGCGTAACAGGGGACTGGAAGTTTCCATATCGCTGACGAACATCTCCTAGGTCTTTAAAAGGATGAAAAAAAGTTTAATGTTTTGCTGACAGTGAAAATCAAGAAACCATTCAAAACACATTAACTTACTTGGAGTTAAAAATTAGCATGGATATAAATAGCATATACAACTGAAATAAAGTACAAAATTATCAGCTTGGGAAGTTTTCACTTGTAGGGTGTCATAACACAACAAAAATTTAAAAACAAGAAATCTGTTAGTCCATCTAAGTCACCCCTTCCAATAAACTAAAGTTTATAATAAAAAAATATACACATACAAATCCAATCCTTATCATTCAAATATTTATCAAGCCTTCTTGATAAACTGCATCCACCATATCTGAAGGCAATCCATTCCAAAAACTAACCACCCTTTAGAAAAATAAAGCTTTCTTAGCTGAAGATAACTCCTACCCAGCTAAAATTTATATTTGTATCCTCTAGTCCTTACTGTTATTAAGTAAAAAATAAAAAATGGTGGCTAAATACTATCATTTTCTTTGATAATCTTAAACATATCAAACAGATCCTCTCTAACTCTTCTTTTTTCAAGAGAAATTTTCAGAGATATCAACCTGTCCTTGTATGACAATCTATCCATCCTAGATATTGTTTTAGTAGCCCTTCTCTTAACCTATTTCCAACAATTCAATGTCCTTCCTATGGTAAGGAGCCCAAGACTGAACACAATACTTCAAATGTGGCCAAACCAGTGAGCTATACAATAAAATTATAACCTCTTTAGTATGCAGTATTTCTATAGATACAACCCAAAATTCTCTTGCTATATCACTAGCAACAGCACACTGTTTGGATGGTTTAAGAGACTGATCAACTAAAACACTATTATCATCCATAATGCTGTTAATGTTATTCCCATCAAAATTGTAAGTATAATTCAAATTCTGATAATCACATGCATCACCTTGCATTTATTATAATTAAAAGCTATCTGTCCTTTATTTGCCCAACTCACCAAATGATTGAAATCATTTTGTAGAGCAGAAATATCCTCTTCCCAGTCAGAAACACCCCAAACCTTAATATCATTAGTAAATTTCAGTAATTGACTGACAATTCCTTCATCTGTATCACTGATGTATATCAAAAAGATTATAGGTACTAAAACTGAGCTCTGAGGTATCCCACTTGAGACATTAATCCAGTTTAAATGAACTCACAGCTCTCTGCTTTCTTCCATCCAGTAATTTTTTATCCAATGAGCAAATTTATAACCAATACCTATAGAGATAATTTTTTGTAACAAGCCTTTTATGTGGCAACTTGTTAAATACTTTCTGAAAATCTAGATATACCAAATCCATACCCTTATCCTCACCTATTTAAGCAGTAGCCTTTTCAAAGAATGCCAAAAAATTAGTAAAGCAAAATTTCCTCCTAGTGAAACTATGCTGACCATCCAACAAAATTTTTAACTCTGTTAAATGACTTTGCAAAACATTTCTTATCAGACTTTCAAAACCTTTTACCATCACTAATATAAGATTAATAGGCCTTGAAAATAGAAGTAGTATTAACCAAATTCCAGTCCTCTGGCACTTGCCCAATATTCAAGGGCTTACAAAAAATAGTAGCAAGTGGCTCACATATCCAATCCTTAACCTCCTTCAAAACCCTTGGGTAAATATTATCTAGTCCAGGAACTTTATCATTCTTTAAATTTCCCAATTTGTTATTAACAGGCTTAGAGTTAATGTGATCATCTTGTTTCCATCTAGCAAACTATTCATGATTAAGAATACTGCTTAAATCTTCATTAGTAAAAATTAAGTAAAAAAGCAGAATTTAATAACCATGCCTTCTTAATATAATCATCATACATGAGCTTTTCTGTATCATACATCAAAGGTTCTACCTCTATCCTAACATTTTGCTTACTCTTACTATATTTAGAGAAATCCTTACTATTTAATATTTACATTTTAAGTCAACCTTTCTTCATATACCCTTTTTGGTTTCATAATTTTCTATTTCACCAACTCTCTTGATCTTTTATAATCCCTAGAGTCTCCCATCATAGCAGTCAATTTCAACTCTTAGATTTATAATGCTTTTCTTTAATTTTATCCCTTATAATCTTTATTTTTAATTACAGTTACTTTTTTCTATAAAAAATGCATACCAATCTTGAATATTTAAAAAATTTCCCATATTTGATCAGTATCTTTAATTAATTCAGTTGCTCAATTCTTAACAGGTAATTCTCATTGCATCTATTAAAAAATTAGTTTTTTCTCAATTTGTAACCAAAATTTCACTTATTTCTCATCTTCACATGCAGCAAAACATCAAACTTAATTGAGCAATCACACTTTCACCCAGCTGTTTCCCAATCACTACACTATCAACTATTTCTGTATGAAAAGTTAACAATAAATCTAAAATAGCATTGTTCCTACTAAGTTCTCTGACAAGTAGTCAAGAACACCATGCTAAATGGTTTCTAAAAACCTGTCTCCTCGTGGTTTGATTCTAAACTTTTCTAGTCTATATGCTTGTAGAGTTTCTCGTTAATTTCTTCTAGTGGTCTGTAACAAATTCCAACAAAAAGCCTTCTCTCCTTGTATCAGCTAACAGAAACCCAAACATTAGCTTTGATGTAACTCACATTTTACAAATAAAGCCACTCCTCTTTTTCTAGTAATACCTTTACTATTAAATAACCTATAATTCCATTTATACTTCTAGCTGCATATGAATATTAAGGCCCTTTTCTGATCCAACTTTTTTATAACTACCACAATAATAGTGAACATATCACTTTGTAGTAAAAAAAAAATATTTGAACAAACCCAAAGAACACAAACACATCAGACAAAAACAATTTCTCTGTTTTACAGATGGTGTAAAATACAACTCAATTATTAAACCTGCATTACTTAAAATGTTTTCAGAATTCATACTTAAATTGCTAAATCATCTCTGTTGAAGCTTTAAGTCTTTTGGAAAACTTTGGAGAAAGCTAAGAAAATTTTCCAACATATTATAAATGTTATTATTTAAATTCGATGATGAGGAACCCACTTTGAGACTAATAATGGTTGGAGACAGCTTGAATGGGTAATGAGAAAATTTGGATATAAGTTTAACATTCACAGTCAATAGTACAACGTTACGTACGTACGTTAGTTAGTTAGTTAGTATACTA